TTTTGGATACCTTTCTTTAAGAGGTAGAGATTAATTCCTCTACCCTGGAATGAAAGTTGGTGACTTGCTTTTAACCAGTAGAATCTGATGGGAGTGACTGTAAGTGATATCTGAGACTGGATCATAAAAGGCATCGAAGCTTTCTCCTTTCTTTCTCTCTAGAATCACTTACTCTGTAGGAAGCCAGTTGTCATGTTGTAGACACTCAAGCACTCAAATGGAGAGAACCATAAGCTACTGAGGAACTGAGGCCCCCTGACAATAGCCATGTGAGTGTGCCATCTTGGAAGTGGATCCTTCAGTCCTAGTCAAGTCTTTTGTTAACAGCATCTATGGGTAAAGTCTTGACTGAAACCTCATAAGAGCCTCTAAGTTAGAAACACCCAGCTAATCCTCTCCTAAACTGTGAGATAAGCAATGTTTGGTGTTTTATGCCACACTGTTTTGGGTTAATTTGTTACACAGCTATAGATGACAAATACAGATTTTTCCCTCCTTAACATTCTGTCCCTCTGGAATCACTCTTGGTACCAAATGAATTGTATCATGTTAGATGGAAGCATGATTTTGTTATTGAGTTTTCTGGAAATTGTGTGGTTTAAAGAGCTGTATATGGGTGCCAAGTTGACAGATGTGGATTTTGGTGGCTTTGTAATGTCAACTTGGATATGTTAAATTGTATTTCCCCGAATTCCCTTCCCTTCATATTTTTGGCTAAGATGAGCCACAAGAGACATTTTTTCATCAGTGTTTGAGGGCAAAGGTGAAGCAGCAGCTATTTTGTTTTTTACAATCAGATAATTAAAGCAGGCACTTCTGTATCTCATGGAAATTGTTGCTTGTCTGCTGGCTGATCTCATGGGAGAGGGATAGCAGCCAGGCCTGCAACTATATCATCTTTCCCTGGGTCCTCCTTTAACTTACCTGATTCCTTGGCCAAGTATGTATTTAGGTCCATGATGAGAGTGCCACCTTCTTCTGCTGGGCAGCCCCATCATGAAGGTTGGGGGCACCAAGAATTCACATGGATTCCAGTGTGTCCTCATGGTTTCTAGCTCATGCTGATGGTTCCAGCTTGTTTTCACTCTCCTTCTCTTTACACTCATCTTCTCTTTTTGACTCCTGACCTACAGATTTCTAACTTCAGCATCAGACAAAAATATTAGCCTTCTGGAGACTGTTAAACCAGCTCCCACAACTGTATAGGTCAAATCCCTGTAACAAATACTTTATTCTATTTCTAGCTTTATTTCTATTTCTACCTCTATCTTTTTATCTATAATCTATTTCAATCTCTTAATAGTTGTGCTCCTCTGAATGAACCTTGACTAATAGCGTGATCTTCATCATCAACTTGTACCTTCAAGTATGTTTGTTCTCAAACCCATTAAAGTAAGTACAAGAATCAGGGGTTCCTGTGAAACATGAAAATTACCAGTCTCTACCTCCAGAAAAAAATTCTGATTCACTGGGTGGGTGTGCAGCCTAAGAATCTACATTTTACATAGGCATCAGATTCACGTGGTCCAAGCACCATACTTTGAACAAATACTTATGAATGTTTTATCATATTTAAAAGATATTTCTTTGAAATTGAAGTTTTCCAATAATAGAATTTCCTTTTAATGCTGGTAGTGTTAAAACCAAATCTAGGTGAATTCATCCAACAAACATTTATTATTCATGTGTTATATGTTAGAAACGTGCTCCAGGGTGGGAAAATGTATGAAGGTATCTAGTGAAAGATACCCAGTAGAAAGAAGCATTGTGTTGGAGTCCTATAAAATGTTGTTATACATCTTTCTTTTCCTATTAATAGTGATTTTTTTCTGACAATGCTTTAAAAAGCCCTGTTGTTTTTCAGAGCAAGTTCAGGTATAAAGGAAGGTTCAGATTAGTGAGACAGTGTGATTCTGCAGTTGCCTCTGCCTAGGTTTCAGCCAGGGAAGTTCTGTTATTTTACACACACACACACACACACACACACACACACACATGAGGTTTTCTCATGAGGTGTTTTATTTGAAGAAAATATACTACATAAAAATAATTGAAAGTGAAAATATTTACTATAAAATATTAAGCATATTATTTTTCACATTAAAAAGTATTTAACAAATATTGATTAAATGGATAATGGATATGTTGATGCATTTTACCATTATAGAGTCACAGTATTAATGCAAAAAGGACAAAACATAGCTAACATCATATGCAATGAGGAAGTGTTGAAAGTTTTCCCTCTAAGACCAGGAACAAGACAAAAGTGCCCACTCTCACCATTCCTATTCAACATAGTACTGGAAGTCCTAGCCAGAGCAATTAGTCAAGAAAAAGAAATAAAAGGCATCTAACTCAGAAAGAAAGAAGTAAAATTGTCTCTAATGGAAGATGCTATGATCATGTATTTAGAAAACCCTAAAGATGCTATCAAAACTAATAAATGAGTTCAGTAAAGTTTCAGAATACAAAATCAACACACAAAAATCAGTTGTGTTTGTATACACTAACAGCAAACTTCTGAAAAAGAAATAAGGAAAACAGTTCCATTTACAGTAGAATAAAAGATAATGAATAAATTTAACCAAAATGGGTAAATATCTGTACACTGAAAATTCCAAGACATTGATGAAATAAACTGAAGAAAACAGAAATAAAGGGGAAGATATCCCATGTCCATGGATCAGAAAAATTAATATAGTTAAAATGTCCATACTACCAAATGCCATCTAGAGATTCAGTGAAATCCTTATAAAAATTATGATGGCATTTTTTACAGAAATAGAACAAATAATCTTAAAATTCATGTGAAATCACAAAAGTCTCTGAAGAGCCAAAGCAATCCGGAGAAAGAAGAGCAAAGCTAGAAGCATCACAATTCCTGATTTCAAACTTTATTACAAAACTATAGTAATCAAAACTGCACAGTTCTGGCACAAAAACACACATAGACCAATGGAAAAGAATCAGGAGCCCAGAAATAAACTCACACATACATGGTCAACTAATCTTTCACAGGAGAGCCATGAATACCTACTGGAGAAAGGACAGTCTCTTCAATAAATGGTTTTAGGAAAACTGGGTAGTCACATACAAATGAATGAAATTGGACCCCTATTTTATACCTCTCACAAAAATTAACTCAAAATGGGTTAAAGACTTAAATGTAAGTCTCAAAACTGTAAATCCACCCAAAGAAAACAGGGAAAAAGCTTCTTGACATTGGTCTTGGCAATGATTTTTTTGGATATGACACCAAAAACACAAGCAACAAAAGCAGAAATAAACAACTGAGACTACCTCAATCTAAAAAGCTTCTGCACATTAAAAGAGACAGTCAGCAAAATTAGAAGGCAACCTATGGAATGGGAGAAAATATTTGCAAATCATCTATCTAATAAAGGGTTAATATCCAAAATATATAAGGAACTCAAAACTCAACAGCAAAAATTAACAATCCAATTAAAAAATGGGAAAAGGACTTGGATGGATATTTTCCCAAGGAAGACATACAGATGGTCAATAGGTACATCACTAATCATCAGGGAAGTGTAACTCAAAACCACAGTGAGATATCACCTCACACTTGTTAGAATAGCTATCATCAAAAAGACGAGACAACAGGTGTTGGCAAGGATGTGAAGAAAAGGAAACCCTTGTGCACTGTTGGTGGGAATGTAAATTGGTACAGCCACTCTGGAAAAAAGTATGGAGTTTCTCAAAAAATTAAAAATACAACTACCATATTATCCAGCACCCTCATTTCTGGATAATATCCAAAGGAAATGAAATCACTATCTCAGAGTTTAGATATCTGTACCCTCTTGTTTATTGCAGTATTGTTTACAATTGCCAAGACATGGAAACAACCTAAGTGTCCATGGATGGATGAAAGGATAAAGAAAATGTGACACACACACACACACACACACACACACACACACACACACACAGGAATATTATTCATCTGTAAAGAAGAAGGAAATCCTGCCTTTTGTGCAACATGGATTGACTTTGAGCACATTAAGCTAAGTGAAATAAGTCAGACAGAGAAAGATAAATACTGTATGTTCTCACTTGTTTGGAACCTAAAAAGGCTGAACTCATAGAAATAAGAGAGTAGAATGGTGGATACCAGGGTCTGGGAGGTGGGGGAAATAGGGAGACGTTGGTCAAAGCATTCAGGCTTCTAGCTATAAGATGATTAAGTTCTGGGGATTTAGTGTATAACATGGTAACTATAATTAACAGTACTTTATTATATACTTGAAAGTTAAGAGAGTAGATCTAAAATATTATCACCGCACACACACACACACACACACACAAAAGGTAATTATGTGGGGAAGGAGGTGTTAACTAACTTTATTGTGGTAGTCATTTCACAATATATAAATGTATCAAGTCATTACATAGTACACCTTAAGCTCACTTATGTTATCTGTCAATAATATCTCAATAGCAAAAAGTTAACTAGAGACCATTTGGTGTAACCCTCTTAGTTCATAGATGAGTAAACCAAAGCCCCAAAACATGGAATGATTTGTCCAGTTTCACTGGTAAATTTTCAGTAGAGCTAAGCATAGTCTTCTAGTCCATTTCTCCTTTCTGTGTGCCATAACTGACATATTGTAAGAGGATTAATAAATATAGGTCTTTGTAACATTTCAGGAAATTTTCAATATGTTTATTATTTTTTCTGATTATATTATATCTATTAGACTTACCTAATTAAATTAGAAATTTCTGGAGTTTTTTAACTTTTAACAAAGGGGATTTTTTTTCTTTAGGCTAATCAGGGTAAAAGTATGATTATTCTAAAATCTTATACGTTGATGGATTTTTGAATTTTGATTCAGATAAAGAACTATTTCAGATAGCTTCACATCAAAACTAATTTTTAATTATATTAGAAGGTGAAATAATGAAAGATTGTATCGTGGCTTTAAAAAAAAGTAACAGGCATGTTTTTCTCTGTATTTTGTTCATGTCTACAGCTGGATTCTGATGGCACCATTACTATAGAAGAGCAGATTGTCCTTGTGCTGAAAGCTAAAGTGCAGTGTGAACTCAACATCACAGCCCAGCTCCAGGAAGGAGGTAAAGATGCTGAGAACACTGGTCTTCACAAAAAATGCAAATTTCCTCCTTAGTGAGTATTAGGGAGTTCCTCATCAATCATTCCTTGTTTCCATGTGGAGAGCTGTGTAGCAGAATAACGCTCTTTTCATCTCTTTAACCTACCAGCTCTTCGCTCCCTGTGGATGAGTGACTTGCCTGGTTTGTGAGTTTGAGAATGACCGGGCACGTGCACATCAGCGTCTCCCTCAGATCTGTCTTTGGGATCTGTCTGTCTTCAGAGAGCATGCATATTGTTTTGCCCTTGACTGTGCAGTAAGTTTGGAGGAGCAGGCTCTGTACTTGTGGGTATCACCTGCAGTTTTAGGTAGTATGTAAAATTCAAAGGAGCCAATAAGCAAGCCCATTGATACATACATAGACCATGTTCTCCAAAAAACTTTCTGCTTAATAAAATGATTATTTTATCTTCATCTACCTGACTCCTTATGTAATTTCTCAGTTAGTTCCAAGTTCAAGTGGGAAACTACAAAAACAAAACTACAAAGCTGCAGATGAGCTTGTGGTAGTGTTGGTGCTCTTGTGCGCCTCTACCGTTGCAGCTGCACAGGGACCTGTGGCTTGTGTTCTTTGGGGTCTGATGGTCACTCACAGTCCTAAATGGGGCCACTGAGTAAAGTCTTTTATTGAATTGGAGTAGTGGGAAGATTATAATGTTTTATATAGCGAAATGCCTTGATAGTTGAATATATTCAAAGACATTTTTTAAAAAGAGGGAGATGCTACTTACTGAACTCTTTAAATTCCCAACAATCTGAATGAAGTAGATAATGTCCTTAAAGCTATGCTTTAAAAAAAAATTGTGATTGATTTCTCAGTTGGTTATGATCAGAGAATGTGGTCTGCATGATACTAATTTTTAAAAGTGTGTTGAGACTTAATGGCTTATATTGGGGTCAGTTTTGATAAATATCCTATATGGTCTTCAAGAGAATGTGTACTGTCCAGTTTCTGAGTACAGTGTTTTATAGTGTCCACTAGGTTAAGCTTATTGGGTGTGTGGTTCATGTATTCTGTATCTATGATTTTTCATCTATTTGACCTATTCTTTTCTGATATATATATCTTAAAATATCCCACTCTGAGAATGAATTTTTTTGCTTCATATATTTTGAAAATGTTATTGAGTATATACAAGTTTATAAATGTTATATTTCCTAGTAAATCAAACCTTCCATTGATATGAAGCAGCCTTCTTTATTTCTAGTTTACTTTTGTTTTAAATATTAACTAATAAACATCCCAATCCAAAACTGGGCAGAAGACCTGAATAGACATTTCCCCAAAGAAGGTATACAGATTGCTGACAAACACATGAAAGAATGCTCAACATCACTAATCATTAGAGAAATGCAAATCAAAACTACAATGAGGTATCATTTCACACCAGTCAGAATGGCCATCAAAAAATCTACAAACAATAAATGCTGGAGAAGGTGTGGAGAAAAGGGAACTCTCTTGTACTGTTGGTGGGAATGTAAATTGATACAGCCACTATGGAGAACAGTATGGAGGTTCCTGAAAAAACTAAAAATAGAACTACCATACAACCCAGCAGTCCCACTACTGGGCATATACCCTGAGAAAACCATAATTCAGAAAGAGTCATGTACCACAATGTTCACTGAAGCTCTATTTACAATAGCCAAGGCATGGAAGCAACCTAAGTGTCCATCAACAGATGAATGGGTAAAGAAGATATGGCACATATATACAATGGAATATTACTCAGCCATAAAAAGAAATGGAATTGAGTTGTTTGTAGTGAGGTAGATGGACCTAGAGCCTGTCACACAGAGTGAAGTAAGTCAGAAAGAGAAAAACAAATACCGTATGCTAACACATACATATGGAATCTAAAAAAAAAAAAAAGTTTATGAAGAACCTAGTGGCAGGACAGGAATAAAGATGCAGACGTTGAGAATGGACTTGAGGACACGGGAGGGGGAAAGGTAAGCTGGGAGAAAGTGAGAGAGTGGCATGGACTTATATATACTACCAAATGTAACATAGATAGCTAGTGGGAAGCAGCCGCATAGCACAGGGAGATCAGCTCAGTGCTTTGTGACCACCTAGAGGGGTGGGATAGGGAGGGTGGGAGGGAGACACAAGAGGGAGGAGATATGGGGATATATGTATATGTATAGCTGATTCAATTTCTTTTTTTTTTTTAATGTAAACACATACAGTGTATTGAGACCATTTGGTCAGGAATTAATCTCTCTACACATAATGGACAGAAGTGATCATTATTTCGTTAGTCATTGTACACACAATTGTAAAGCAATTATACTCCAATAAAGCTGTTAAAAATATTAACTAATATATAATATGAAACTATTATATTAAAATAATATTTAATAAACAACATTAGTTCTTTCTTCTTCGGTATTTCCTTGCACATCTTTTCCCATCCTTAAAAAATCTTTTATTATGATACAAATACACATAATATTAAATTAATCATATTAAATGTTTTTAAATGTACAGTTCAGTAGTGTTAAGTGTATTCACATTGTTGTGCAAACCAATCGCCAGAAAATTTTCATTTTGCAAAATTGACACTCTAAATCCATTAAACAGCAATTCCTTATCTTTTCTGATTCTTCTATTAAACTTTTCTGTTTACTTATGTTTAGGGAGTATCTTTTATAAAGGAGACACAGGTGGACTTCTTGTTATTTATTCTGTTAGGCTTTGTCTATTAACTGAAGAGTTTAGCCAATTACATTAATTATGATAATGAATATACAGTGTTAGAATTTAATGTTACCATGTTATTTGGGCTTTTAATTTCACCAGCTCTTCCTGTGTGTCCCTTCTACTCCCCGCTTCCACCTTCTGTTGGCTTCTTTTGAATTGATTGAAACTTCTTTCCTTATTTTATCCTCCCTCCCCCTACCAGTTTGGAAGATATATGTTATATTTAATTCTTTAGTGATTAACCTAGAAGTTTTTCATCTATATTTAAGAAAGTTTAATGTTATCAATAACTTCCCTCTCTCAAATAATGAAAGCATTTTGAAATACTTTGCTTCCAAATTATGTGCATTATCATATAGTTTTATCTTAATTGTATGTTTTTATAATTTTTCTTCTTCCTGGAATACATCTTTTTTTAATAGTATTTTATTTTATTTATTTATTTTTTTAACATCTTTATTAGAGTACAATTGCTTTACAATGGTGTGTTAACTTCTGCTTTATAACAAAGTGAATCAGTTATACATATACATATGTCTACATATCTCTTCCCTCTTGCATCTCCCTCCCTCCACCCTCCCTATCCCACCCCTCTAGGTGGTTACAAAGCACCGAGCTGATCTCCCTGTGCTATGTGGCTGCTTCCCACTAGCTATCTATTTTATGTTTGGTAGTGTAGTGTATATATGTCCATGCCACTCTCTCACTTTGTCCCAGCATACCCTTCCCCCTCCCTGTATCCTCAAGTCCATTCTCTAGTAGGTCTGCATCTTTATTCCCGTCTTGCCCCTAGGTTCTTCTGACCATATTTTTTCCTTTTTTTAGATTCCATATATATGTGTGAGCATATGGTATTTGTTTTTCTCTTTCTGACTTACTTCACTCTGTATGACAGTCTCTAGGTCCATCAACCTCACTACAAATAACTCAGTTTCATTCCTTGTTATGGCTGAGTAATATTCCATTGTATAAATGTACCACATCTTCTTTATCCATTCATCCATCAGTGGACACTTATGTTGCTTCCATGTCCTGGCTATTGTAAATAGAGCTGCAATGAACATTTTGGTACGTGACGCTTTTTGAATTATGGTTTTCTCAGGGTATATGCCCAGTAGTGGGATTGCTGGGTCGTACGGTAGTTCTAATTTTTTGTTTTTTAAGGAACCTCCATGCTGTTCTCCATAGTGGCTGTATCAATTTACATTCCCACCAACAGTACAAGAGGGTTCCCTTTTCTACACACCCTCTCCAGCATTTATTGTTTGTGGATTTTCTGATGATGGCCATTCTGACTGGTGTGAAGTGATACCTCATTGTAGTTTTGATTTGCATTTCTCTAATGATTAGTGATGTTGAGCATCCTTTCATGTGTTTGTTGGCAATCTGTATATCTCCTTTGGAGAAATTTCTGTTTAGGTCTTCAGCCCATTTTTGGATTGGGTTGTTTGTTTCTTTGATATTGAACTGCATGAGTTGCTTGTATGTTTTGGAGATTAATCCTTTGTCAGTTGCTTCATCTGCAAATATTTTCTCCCATTCTGCGGGTTGTCTTTTTGTCTTGTTTATGGTTTCCTTTGCTGTGCAACAGCTTTTGAGTTTCATTAGGTCCCATTTGTTTATTTTTGTTTTTATTTCCATTTCTCTAGGAGGTGGGTCAAAAAGGATCTTGCTGTGATTTATGTCATAGAGCATTCTGCCTGTTTTCCTCTAAGAGTTTGACAGTGTCTGGCCTTACATTTAGGTCTTTAATCCATTTTGAGTTTATTTTTGTGTATGGTGTTCGGGAGTGTTCTAGTTTCATTCTTTTACATGTAGCTCTCCAATTTTCCCAGCACCACTTATTGAAGAGGCTATCTTTTCTCCACTGTATATTCTTGCCTCCTTTATTAAAGGTAAGGTGACCATATGTGTGTGGGTTTCTCTCTGGCTCTTTGTCCTGTTCTGTTGATCTATATTTCTGTTTCTGTGCCAGTGCCGTACTGTCTTGATTACCGTAGCTTTGTAGTATAGTCTGAAATCAGGGAGCCTGATTCCTCCAGCTCCGTTTTTCTTTCTCAAGATTGCTTTGGGTATTCTCTGTCTTTTGTGTTTCTACACAAATTGTGAAATTTTTTTGTTCTAGTTGTGTGAAAAACGCCAGTGGTAGTTGATAGGGATTGCATTGAATCTGTAGATTGCTTTGGGTAGTATAGTCATTTTCACAATGTTGATTCTTCCAATCCAAGAACATGGTATATCTCTCTATCTATTTGTAT